GGAATGAATTTTGACTCCTCACCCAGCGATGGCCTCTCATCCTATCGATCGGGCATTTTGATCCATGAGATTCAGAAAATGCCTGTCGAAAAGAGGAAGGTTCAGGTGCGCTAACTCAGAGACACTTATAGACGACTAGGTTGTGTTAAATGTGTGCCTTTTGGAAACTCATGCACGAATATGCAAGGAACACAAGATGTGTGCTTTCCCGATGAATCCTTATGACAGTGCCCTAGAATGTACATTTTTGGAGAAGGGTGTTTACAGCCAAACATTGTAATTGATCAGTTGAGCTTCGATTCATGCAAACGTTTAGCAGTCTGGGCTAATTTAAATAAACGAGCGAGTCAAAGTTTGTCCTTCAGTTCAGCGAACATTAGCAAAGATGATAACTTCTTTCTTTCGCACTTCATTTTTGGGTCTAAGGAAAAATGTACTTTTTCACTGTACCGAATGCTGGCACATTGTCAAAGGAGGTAGCGGTGTGCAAGATGGATATTTTTAGATCGTTTAAGCCAGTCGTTAAACAGTAGCCGCTAAGTGAACCTGTCTCTTGTCTTCAAATGTAAACCTGTTTTAGTAATCTCTTCCAAGCTGCAGTTTCTCTCAGACCACCCCTCCTTTCATACTGCATTCGGCAGTAGCGAAAACGATGCTGTCACAATTCTCTGAGCGCGAAATCGGGCACTAGACTAAAAAGCTGTATTCCAGTATTACGCACTATTATGGTAAACTAGATATACTGGTTGAAGATCTTAAGAAAAGAGCAGAATCGCGCTGACCCGCCGAACACATGTCGTCAAACAGGTAACGGTGTTCAAAGCTCCTCCCAACCAATACAGCTGGACAACTGGGTCGTCGTTTTAGTACCAGCTTTCGTTGTTTAAACGCTATGACAAGTAAACACAGATGAGCCTTTTACTGCCGTTTGCCGGAAAAAAATTACTGCCATCGAGAGAGTACTTACTCACATAATATCTTTAACAAGCCCCTGGGCACACACGAATGGGCATTTAAATTATTGAACGAATGATCATTAATAAACATATAACTTGAAGTAGATGCTTTATGTCTAGAACTGTTGAAGTGTCAAGCTTAGCTTAGTATACAGTGAGTTCAAAATCCGTTTATTTTCCTTGTAATTTACAGAATTTATAAACCTGACTATTGAAGTTGAATCTTGAATAATTTTTCTGAAAGATTGTTAACAAAAAATAATTTACTCTGCGTATACGAGAATACGGAATTATTTAAGATGATGGACAACAACGTGGGAATATATCATCGAAATAAAACCTTGCTTTAGGTAGAGCACATTAAATATCTATTTCATGTTTTACTGTAAAAGCAATAACAATGACAACTGTCATTTTCCACTCAGAAGGTCGAGAATCTGAATCTGAACCCACTGGGTTGCGGCAGTGTTATATCAGTTTTTTCAGGTCTGCAGCATTATTTACTTTTTTTGACCTCACCTTAGGCTATTATCCCACAAATATCCGTTCTTCTTCCTCCTGCAAGTAGAATGCTGTAATTTCAAAATCACGTTTTTCCGTATAAATTAAACAAATCAATCATCCTGCCTAAGTTAAATGGTAACAAAATGACATTGAGAATGAAATAAATACATCTATAAGCAAAACTGTTTTAGATCAGTGATAAACAAACTATATAACCTTCATACAACGTCGAAAAGAACGCGAGTGTTCAGATTTTCGCGAGTGTTCCAGAACTATCGGCTCGAACTGCTTTCTGAGCTGCCAAGCATTGCATCGAACATTTGCGGCTTGATGAATAATCCTAGAAAGCAAATTAGCACAGTGAATTCAAAGAAAAGCCAAGTGCTCGATCAAACGTGGAAATGACTATGGCAGCCAAGGATTTAGGAGTATGCATGTACAATAAATGACAGCATACCACATAGCGTTGCAATGAGATCCTCTAGCCTTGCTGTATTTTTTACTCCATCTTGCCAGTGGTTAAATCACAGCGCCCTTTAGCACTGCCGTCATCCTTTGGTGACGACTTATTCCGTAGGCTTCCTACTCATTCTGTAATTAAGCCACATATGTCCAAACAGATTCAAAAATTTTTCTGTT